TGTGCCTATGTACACAAACATTCCTGTGCAAGGAGCTATTCAAGCTCTGATACAAACTCTGGAAGAACATCCAGAGATTACACAAGGAATGAGGCTGAGAGTTGCTTTCATTATTAGACTTATTAATCTATACATATTTTACCCTTGACGGTAAGTTATACGAACAAACGCAAGGATTAGCGATGGGATCTTGCCTGTCTCCCATCTTAGCAAACAATTATATGGCAAGATTGGAGGAACACTTCCTGCAAGAGTGAATACTAACACCCAAATTGTTGGTTAGGTAAATGGATGACTATTTTGTCATCTGGCCTCATGGTAAGGACAATTTAGATAGTTTCCTATTTACACTCAACCAGCGTGAAAGGAACATTAGGTTCACGATGGAAATGGAAGAGAATAAGTACTTACCTTTTCTGGATGTTCTCTTCCTTAGAGAAAAGGGCAAGTTAGAAAGAGATGTTTATAGGAAGCCAACATATATTGGCTCTTAGCTTAATTTTCTTTCCAACCATAACTACGAGACTAAGGTTGAAATTTTGAAATCAATGATTCTTAGAAGTATGAAACTAGCGTATAGCAAACATTTGACTAAAGAGTTGGAACGGCTGACAAATATATTCCTGGAAAATAATTATCCTTTAGGTCTTATTTAGAATAATATCTCTATACTGAGGAAAAGAATTTTAGACGGCGACCATTTAGTCAAAGAGAGACAAACTGAGACCTTTTCCCATGTCCTAATTTAGCCGTCATGCTTTCTCTCAAAAAAGATAGGCGACTTAGCAAAGAAGTGGGGCATAAAAACAGTATTCAAAGAAACCCTCATTTTATTCTGTTATGCCATCATTTAGAGAGAAATATGACCCATTATCGAGATCCGGCTACTACAAGAATGTTTGCTCATGTGGTCGATGTTATGTTGGTGATACATGCCGACCTATTCGACAAGGATTGGTACGACACAAAAATGCTTGCAAAGGTAGCTGGATCCAACGGTCAGAAGTGGCCGAACACATGGTAGCAACTGGACATGAAATAAAATGGTCCCAAACTGGTGGGTTTGCTGATTACGGTACGTCTGTGTTTAAAAAAAGATAAGAGAGGCTATTGAAATTAATAGCTTAAGAAATACGTTGAATGTGTGGGACGGTGGTAGAAAGCTTAGTAGGAACTAATTATGCTTGATTGATAGATTGAAAGAGAGAGAAGGTGTTGAGCTGCCTTCGAAAAGAAGGCGACTCAATTTGTCTGCTCAGTGATGGTGCTAATTTCACTCACATTCGCCCAAAATGTTAGATTAAGCTCATCAACCAAACCAGACATTTCAGATTACGCAACCCTAGTCTTGCCTTTTCTTGGAGGGTTAAACGTTAATGACCCTTGACTGAAAGGTTAGGACAAGTGGTTTCGTAACTTGATTATCATGCTTACAAACTCATATTTCATTATCTTAACCATACTTGTTTACGGACCTAGGCAGTCTCGGTCAAAGATTTTCTCTTGGGTTATTAGGTCTTGATGATCAGAACTTGAGATTTAACCTTTGACACGTCTGATTTATGAACCGTATTACATATAGACGCTAGCACGCACAAATATACATACTCATACAATCGAGCAAAAATAACAGATCCAGTATGAAAGAAAATTAACCAA